GAGAAGCATAAGTTCCTAGTTTCTCAGAACCTCTGAAGAAATTCAGTGCCCGATTCATTAGTCTTTTGCCTTATAGTTGTCAGATCGGTAATCTTCTTTTCTCTAGTCCCAGTATAAAAATATGTATGAAATTTCTTCTCGAGGTCAACCTAGTTGGCAATGGAGTTGACCGGCAGTGATGAAAACCAAGTGAATGTTGGTCCTAACAGGGACAAGGAGAAGAAATGAACTCAATGGGCCTCCTCAACTGATGCCTCACCCAGTTGTGTAAGATACCGACTGACATGTTCTATTGTGCTGGTACTGTCTTAGCCAGTGAACTTAGTGAACTTCGGAAGCCTATAATTTGCAGGAAGGGTGACCAAATCATACCATTCTGGATATGTGTGTTTGTATGAAAAGGTCAGTCCTTTAGGCTTTAGACCGAACTGATTCTTCATCATCTCGGTCACTTTTAGCAACAACTCGTCAGCATGTGAATTTGGATTCATCTACACCTGCTGAACCACCTGTGGATTGAAATCCCGTGTGCCTTGATACCCTGGATTCGGAATCATGTGAAGGGTGTTATAGTCTGTGCCATAATGATACCCTTGTGGAATCTCTATCTACTGGGTCCTTTGCTGGTTTGCTGCTTGAAGTCTCTGATTGTAGACATGAGGATCTATATCTCTATGGATCCTTTGAATTGATGGTGTTATTTTTTGAGCCGACGACGGTATGTGGCCCGATGTGCCAAAATCAATCACCTGGTTCGGACCTTGCCCCGCTGGCTGTTGCACATGCTGCACTGACAATTCAGGATTATACTGTGTCTGATTCGTAGTAGTACCTTGAGCTTGTTCAGATGAACCCTAAACTGCCTGGACATCATTATTACCAGTTGGTGCTGCTTCTTGATGGCTGGTACTGACTTGATTAGTCCCTTGGATCGATGGATGTGGAATGTTGTAATAAGCCGGCCCAACTTGACCAATTGGAAACTCATGAATTGCCTCTCTCATTTCGTTGTGGAATGTGTCCAAGAAAGTTTCATTATGGCTTGAGATGGCGTCATGAACAGATTTGTCTACGATTTCCATGAAAAAACGCTTGTCTTCAGCTTCAACTGTATCTGTCTGCCCGTTTAGTAGAACTCTTGGTAGTGGATATTTCTGAACAATTGTGTTGTCACGTGTTTTGGTGTAGGACAACAAACATTTATTCTAAAATTCTTCTGTATCTTTGCCGAAGACATCTTTATCTCCATCAGGTAGATCTTCATAATGTACCATAAGGATGTCGTTGTTGTTGTGAACCGCCATGACAATTGTGGTGTCCCACCGGGCGTGCCAGAAACGTGTGTCGGCATGAAATTTCATCTGTGCCGAGGGCACACTAGCAAGCCAGAAGGGTCCGCTCGATGGAGCTGGAGATCCACCTAGCTTCAGCGCAGGGATGGTCGATCCTACGCACTCCTACCGAGATGTGCCAGTCAATTTGACCTTGCAATTGACAAGGAGAGAAAGTTTATCAGTAATTTAGGGCGGAACGTGCTGGTGTTACCAGACAGTCTCGAATGTACGGCTCTGAGAGCCGATATGAAAGGAGATCGACTAAATAGTCGATTCCAGCATATTCATAAGAATAAATCAGTTAAAACTCATGGGGTTATGTAAGAAGAATCGGTTATCGTTCAGGATGAATATCATTATTTAGACAAATATTGGTCAATGGCAACAAGATGTCAACAATAATTAGTTTATGCTGAGCCAATGACTGCAAGTAACCGAACCTCTTTTTATGTAAAAGAAACAGTTCATCATTATTCAACCATTTAATAAAGATAAATCTAATGAACATATTAGATCTCATCTATCGCTATGACCAGTGGGGCATGAGGCAGAATCATGCAGGCCGTAGAAACAACAATAGACTCAACGACCCTAGTTTATTACTAATATCAGTGGAGCATAAGGCAGAATCATACATGTCGTAATATAATAATAAGATCATGGGGCTAACACATCTTTCAACATATCTCTACTTCAACGATCTCGTGACGCGAACTGTTCATGAAAGCACTCGATATCGGCTAAAATAGCCGATTCAACCATAGCGCACAGTTAAGGTCATGCCCTATTAGAAACAAATCTACCGAATAACGATCCCCACTCCACGGTGCTAACAGTGGGGTATGAGGTAGAATCACACAGACCGTGATAACGGGCCATGGAACGATTTTCGCTAGCCAATAGATCTACTCAAGATCAGACATGCCTTAACCGCACACTATGCGCGATCAAGATTGACATAAAATAGCCGATAAAACATAACTCATTGTTTAAAGCGCAGATTAGATCAGTTTAGATTAACAAACGATGGGTTAAACAAGATATAAGGCCGATCTAGATCAATCCCAATCGGGCGAAGTGATATTGCTGTAATTAAATAAATAATGGAAGCAATAAGCAATATCTGTAACTTAATGAATCTATCCGAAGGAACGCCACCCTTAGATAGAGCCAATAACTTGATCTTAATCTAGTTCGAGCAGTGGAGGTCCACCGGATCGATGCAGCCTTACTTGAACTAGACAAGAGTCGATAACTAACTTATATTAGAGTCACAGTGGAGGTCGACCGGATCGATGCAGCCGTACGAACAGAAGTATAAGCCATGACGGTACTTACAGACAAGTAGTGGAGGTCGATCGGATCGATACAGCAGTACTTGCTGAAGAACTCGCCGAGATCTACTCTACTCCTACTCCTAAGGGGTGGCCGGAGCCGAAAAAAGTTAGTAACTTGTATTTGATTGATTGTGTGTCTTTTACAATAGCCAGGGTTTGATATTTATAACCGGAGCCTAAACATGAATCCTACTCGAGCACGACTTGTTACAAACTTTGGCATAGAAGAAAACATCCCTAATTTAAGATAACTTGGACCCTAATCTTTTCCTTTTTGTAGAGTCCGTTATGCAATTTCCTGGTGCCAACCATAGCTCATCATCGCTATCTGCTGACATTATCCACAGAGATCCGATTCCAGAGTCGTATCTGAATCAGCTGATATCGATCCTCATGCAATCGATTCCTTGATGGGCACAATTTTGGAAGCCTTCGAATTACCGCATTCTTCTCTCCAAATTTTGGTGTAAACACTCTCCTATAAGAGTTAGAATCAAGGGTGACTCCTTCTCAAGAGGGGGAGAATGATGAGAACATCCCAACCAGACATGCTCTCTCTAGTGTCAACCATTCACCATACAACACCTAGAAGATACAAGTTAAGGGCCACTTAAATGAAGTTATGCCAAGAAACTACAAGAGTAGGTGAAACTTCATTCCTAGCTAAAATTAACTTTGACATATTTGAGAATATTATATTTTCTAAATAATGTACATGTCTTACTAATATTGACACATGAAGGAGCTACTACTGGACGAAAGGAGAGAAGATGGTTTAAATGGACGCTGAAGCAGCATACCACCTGGTTGACAACACAAATCGCCACAAAAGAATCTGTCATAACTCTTGATTCTCTAAAGCATTGGAGGTCCTAAGTACTTGATGGAGACCGGTTTGGATATCCCACTAATGAGATTCAACTAGATTAGTCGAGACTGCTTAGTCCTTTCGAATCTAACAGTACTGTCAGAAAGAAACTACCATAACTCTTGATTCCCAAAGGCTATGGTGGTCAACTAGTTCTTATTGGAAAGCTTATCAAGTTTAGTTTCCAATGCCACCAGGCTAGACTAGTTTGGATTTACCAATGTTAAGATTCGTCTAGTTTAGTAATGACTGGTCACAAGATCAACAATATTCTCGAGGATTTATATATATTCAACTTCCCATGAAAATTGTATCATTATGTAATGTTTCATGGTGCATGCTACACATGGTGGGAAATATTATCAAGTTAACTTTCTACTGCATCAAACGACACAACATTTGGACATTCTAAGATGGAGCAATTGCCAAATTACTGAACACTGCTCAGATGACCAACAACCACTTAAGACCTGTTTAGAAATTCAGTTAGAGGAGACATTTTCACATAGTTTATCTTCTCTTTCTTGTTTTATTTTCGTACCCATCTAGGAGGGTTGTTTCTAGTATAAATATGCCTTTGCTTCTTAGCAAATAAAGACTTTTGATAATCGAATATAAACCCCTTAGTTCACCTGTGTGCTAACAAACTATAGAGAGTGATCTCTACCCCTTTACTCTTGTGTTTTCCTCCGTAAAACTTATAGAAGCATTCGCATCATCGGCACCCAATCTGTGCTCCTGATCCATTGATTACAGGTTGCGTAGGTTAGTTCTTTGAGAGTGTGATTGAGCAAATCCTTGGTTTAGGCTGCTTTATAGTGATGGTGGTTGGCTCCTTGTATGTGTCATCAGGTTGCAATAGTTATCACTACTTGCAGCAAGTTATTCGGCTGTTCTACAGCTAGATATCAAGATTGTGGTCCTACTTCTTGAAGATTGGGACCAAAGCTTCATCAATTGTATATCAGGGAAACCCTAGGATAGGTTTTTAGAAGATCCAGTTCACCCTGTTGCCATCTTTGGGTCTATGTGCGGCCTATGGATACTACTCTATACTAGATGGTTTGATAAAGTCGCCCAAACCGTCAGACTTATGCCTTGGCAGATAGGTTGAACCCTGTGAACTCGAACGGTCCGAGACCCCTATCCCGATAGAACCAATCAGCTACATGTTACATGTTCCTGCCTTAAGTGTTAACCCTTACTCTCTACTATGTTCTTGCTTATATTGAGTATGGTGCTCACCCTCAAGGTCAGGGGCACACTTTTGAGTTTTTTTTTTTGTGTTGACACATCTTCATGTCAACACATACCTTCCATCATCACAAAACAGGAATCAGATCACCCTTATTACAGGAGAAGTTTCACACTCAACTATATATAGGAAACATCCATATGACTCGCAAACATAGAATTACCAATTTGTTGCAATGTATGCCGCACGGCTCAGCAGTCCCTTGATCATGTTACGAGCGATGAACCTATTGGCAGCCTCGGTGAAGTGGATGCCGTCCCAGGAGACGAACTTGGACGGGTCGGCACACGTCGTCGACGCCGGCGTGCCACAGAACGCGATGAAGTTGAAGTTGTTGGGTCCGCCGCCGCCCCCGCAGCACGCGGCCAGCGGCGTGTCGCCGAAAACGTACAGGCGGGGGACGCGATGGCCTTGAGCACGGGGCGGTAGATGTCGGCGTAGAGGAGGGTCAGGGACCTGCCGTAGTTGCTCCGGAGCTCCCTGAGCATCATCCTCAGCCGGTGGTTGTGGTGCTCGGCGAGCACGTTGAACCGCGTGATGCAGCCGGTGGTAGGGTCGTAGTCTCCCGGACCGCCCGGGAACAGGGCCAGCTGCTGCGGCTCGCAGCCGATTGGCAGCATCCCCGTGACCACCAACGTCCTCGCCCCGGCAGCGATCATGGCCTGCGCAGCAGGTTTATTAACAGATGAGGAGAGCAGTTTGGGGCCGGGAGCATTGGATGGATCACGCTGAGAACTGATGAGACGACTGAGCAGGGTGGACTCAGATGCTTACGGTCAGGGCCGAACGGACGGCGCCGATGATGTGTGGAACCAGGCTCACCGCGACGTCGACGGAGTTGTTGCTTAGGGCGACGAAGTAGTCATTGACACCGATCTCGCCGACGTAGAAGACCGACTTTGCCATGATCTTACGTTGATCTGTTACACGAGTTTTAGCTTAATTAGATCGATGATCGATCAACTGACTGTGACTGATATATTGATCAGATAAACTATACTCTACGGGCTTTAGTTAGTTTCCACAAGAAACAAATACTAATTAGGAGTAGTTTTAACCGTAGTCTGATTCGTCGAGTAGCTGCAGAACGTTCTGAAACCAGCTCGTCTCATTAGCCAGAGAGATGGGCGGCCGTTGGTTGCTAAGAACGCCAGGTCCAGCGCCGTTGCACCACCCAGCGCGAAGTTGGCCCCGTTCACAAAGTCGGCGGCCGTCCTGCCGGCGAGGTACGGCGTCGGCTCTGGCACCTTCAGCTCCTCCACTGCATATATATATATATTTTTTTGTGAATGCGCTTGAACGTGATGAACACTGACGAATGAATGAAACGTACGTTTGATGTTGATGACATATATACATACATACCGAGGAAGTCGAGGATAAGCCTGCCGTTGGAAGCCCGGCCGCTGGGATGGCCAAAGTAGGTCTCCCCGTACGGAGGCTGGGTGGAAGGACCCTGCAGTCACCGGGAAGATGGGCCCGTTTCCCGTGTCAGTGAGCGAGTTGCCGAACGCGAACAAGCGGGTGTGCCGCCGGCGGTTGCGGCCATCGGTGTCCGCATAGGCGGGGGTTAGTGCGCCGCCGAGAAGGATTAGCAGAAGCGGCACGGCCGTAAGAAGACGTGAGGACGGCGCCATTGAGAACGGGAAGCGCGGGTGTGGGATTGCTTGCTGATCTATTTCTAGTATTTGTAGCGGCATCGTGTTTGGCGAGATTGTCATGGCGCAACCCTCTTTCATGGAGCTGAGGAAAAAAAAGGCATTTTAGAACTTCCCTCGTTATTCACATGGATGCATTATATTGTTCCTGGGTCCCATCTCCTTTGACATAGTATTATACAATTTCAAGTGGCCATTTAATTCGCTGCATAAGCAACACGGAAACAAGTTATGTCAGTTTGACCAAGTACAATAATTGCCTTAAAACCAAGCAGATGCTAACGTGGAGGAGAGAAGAGAAGCAGAAAGAGAGCTTAGCTCTCATGCAAGCAACAAGCTAGATATCGAAATCATTGCACCGGTGAACCCATACAATAAAGTGAATGTAACAAGTACAATAAATTGAATGTGAGAAGGATTAGGAAAGAAAAAGTGAGACAGGTAAAAGTAACAAAAAAAAATATTTATTATAGATAAATAAGAGACTACTATTGCATAGGTTGGTTCCTAAAACTTAGCTACTAGCCAAAAACTTGGCTCTGTTACTGGGCTTGCACTTAACACTATGTTAGGACTACTAATAACTGTTGGATCAGAACCCTCCATCACTGTTGGAATTCATGCCACCAGAGGTTAATTGGTAGTGATGGGGTGGTCTATCACTGCCGATTTAGCGACCCAATCGTGATAATAGAGTATCACTGTCAGGTCAAAGCATCAGCCAGCAGTTGTCTTAACGGCTACCACTGCTAGGTTGGCGCATGAACCGACAGTCATCTACCGGGTTGATGCATAAATCGACAGTGATATCACGAGTGTCACTGCGGGGTTAATGCATAAATCGACAGTGATATCATGAGTATCACTGCGGCGTTGATGCATAAACCGACAGTGATATCATGAGTGTCACCGCCAGTTTGAAACATGGCCCGATAGTGAACCTTAAGATACTACAGCCAGCTGGTCCTTGAACCCGGCAGTGATACTTATTACATTACTGTTGGTTTGGTATCTCACCCGGCAGTGAACTTGAGTGTCACTCCGGCTCAATTACCACACCCGGCAGTGAACTGACTGACCGGGGGGAGGGGCCTCTGCAAGCATTACAAGATTTGGGACTCCCCCTGTTGTTCACATGCATGTATTCGCAGCATTCCTGTAGTCTGTACATCAGCGTACGCCGGACTTCCGAACCCTCTGGCAGCATTTTCCCTTGGCCCGTCTACTTTCAATAAGTAGAGAAACGACTTTTGATCCACTTTAAAATTTGGCTTTAGTTCCGGTATTTTTCGCACCCGGAATTAGAGAAATCTTTAGTCCTGGTTGGTAGCTCCAACCGGGACTAAAGGTCCCAGCCCAACGGCTACTGCGGCAGGCTTTTGCTGCAGGGGACCTTTAGTCCTGGTTGAAGCTACTAACCGGGACTAAAGGTTAACTTTTACTCCCGGTTGGTCATTCCAACCGGGAGTAAAAGTCTACTCCCGGCTGGAGGCTCCGTCCAAAACTAGAAATCCACCTTTAGTCCCGGTTGGAAGGCCACCAGCGCCTTCATCTCTTCCTCTCTTCTCAGCCGCCAATAGCGCCCTCATCTCCCCACTCCAACAGCGCCCTCAGCTCTCTCTCTTCCTCCCCACGGTATCCACTCTCTTCTCCCCCACGCTAGCTCCCTCCCCTGGCGGCACTCCCCTCCCCTCCCCTGGCGGCGCACCCCTTCTCTCTATCTCTCTCCCACTCCTCCTGGCAGCACATGGCGGTGGCGCCCCTCCTCGGTGGCGGCTGGCGGCCCCCACATCCTTGGCGGCGGCGGATCTGCCCCTCTACTCCTCGTTAGCGGCGAATCCCGCCTTCTCCTCCTTGATGGCGGCGGATCCTGCCTTATCCTCCTCGGTGGCGGCGGATCCGGCCCCCTCCTCGGTGGCGGTGGATCCGGCCTTGTCCTCCTCGGTGGCAGCGGTTCCGGCCTTCTCCTCCTCGGTGGCGGCGGCTCTAGCCTTCTCCTCCTCGGTGGCGGCGGATCCGGCCCCCTCCTCCTTGGCGGTGGCAGATCCGCCCCCCTCCTCTTTCCCGACGGCGCTGGGGAGGCGGCTGGAGCTAGGGCGGCGGATCGATGGTGGCGGCGCGAGGCCCAGATCCGTGCAGCCCAGATCCAGGCCCGTGTGGGTTTTTTCTTTTTTTGTTTATTTTAATCAATTTACGGAGGAGGGCAAAGCAACCGCCTCCATTAATCACACTAGTAGAGAAATGATTTTTGATCCACTTCGAAATTTATCTTTAGTTTGTACAAAATGTTTGAACATTATAAGCGTGTAGAATATGGATATTATTAGCAGCGTAGAATGCGTATTCGAAAACCTATTCGAAAACTAAAACGAATCATCAATTGAAAATAGAAACAAAAAAAAGAAAAAAAAAGAAAACCTTTAGTCCCGGTTGGTAGGCCCACGTGGCCAGGCCAGGAGGCCTCTTTAGCCCCGGTTGGTATTACCAACCCTTTAGTCCCAGGTGAGAAATCGGGACTAAAGGAGGGGCCCTTTACTCCCGGATTCGTGCTCCCGGTTGGAAAACCGGGACTGAGGGGTTTTCCAACCGGGAGTACAGCTTGTTTCTGTGCTAGTGTTTCACATATTATACATCGTTAAGTGGCCATTTAATTTGTTGCATGAGATACATGGAAACAAGTTACGTTAGCTAAGCTCAGCATCTTCATCCGGTGTGTCAAAAGTCCCATGCCTGCGCCATTTCCTGCTGTTCAATTACGCATTCAAGTACACAATACGTCATTCAGTAGTGGGGCATCAGTATCATCAAACAAAGCTATATACAGGCATGCAGCATGCTGGCCTGATGGGGGGAGAGATGGTGATAAGAATTGTAGTATACATGTCACTCTATTTATACCATGGCTACCAGTATACATATCAATTTATTAATACACATCTCTGCATGTACATCAGCTAAGCTATTAGTACGGATAGGTCAGAAATATTGTCGCCATTGTGAATTTATGGACAAGTACTTATCTGACACAGTATACAGGAAAAGGCAACTTGGGATTTTCTTTCTCGAATCACATTGAAATTCAAGGCTACATATTGATACCATTCTGTGTTAAGCAAATCTGATGGCTGATGTATCCCCAAAAGCTGAGTACAACACATACAAGTAATTAGGTATTACTAGAATTTATCTTCTTCCTGAATCTTGACAATTTACAATTGATCAAACTTTTGCAATTTTGAACATTTGAAACTCTGAATGTTGGACTGTTAATATACATATACCCTTCTGTGTCAGATTATTTTTCACTGTTTTTGCACCTTCAGTTTTCAGAAAATAATTCAGGGCAGGTTAGTAACTTTACGTTAGGTTCACATATTCTGTATGATTGATCATTGGATAATTAATGTTATTATAAAAAAAATGAGAGATTGCAGGTATGGCTTGTCCACATTAGGTTTCTTTACACTTGGTGGATATACTATTTTATATATTCTGTACGATTGATCAGTCGATAAATAATGTTATTATAAAAACATGAGAGATTGCAGGTCTGGCCTGTCCATTAGGTTTCTTTAGATCTTGGTGGATATACTATTTTATATTTTCTAAAAAAAAAATATTTTTGCCTTCTGCTAAATGTACCCAGTAGCTGAGACTGAAGTGACACTACTGGACTCGCATGCGGCAAAGGACCAGAAACCCTCGGCAAAGGCTTTGCCGAGAGCTGCCCTCGGCAAAGACCCCTTGGGGAATTTTTAGACGGCGAAGGAGTCTTTACCGAGGGCCCTTTATCGTGCACTTGGCAAAGCCTTTGCCGAGGGCCAGGACGGCCCTAGGCAAAGAAAAGAAACCGTCACGCGCCGGCGCCGTTGGCGGTTTCTTTGCCAAGGGCCGACCCTCGGCAAAGAAGTGGTTTTTTTTTTGAATTTTTTTTGCCGAGGGCCGGCCCTCGGCAAAGAAATAGTTTTTTTTGATTTTTTTTAAACCTTTGCCAAGGGCCTGCTCCCTGGCCCTCGGCAAATAAATTTTCAGGATTTTTAAAAAAATCTTTGCCGAGGGTTATTGCTAGGGCCCTCGGCAAAGGACCCTTCTTTGCCGAGGGCCTTGGTCATTGCCCTCGGCAAAGAGACAGAAATTTAAATTTTTTTTTGTTTTTTGTATTCCATCGACACAAGCATTTCATATATATACATATATATATCACACAGAACCCATTTTCTCACAATATATCACAACCATAATTGTGAACCACAAATCACAATATATTACAATGACAAGTCACATGTTTATCATCATTCACATGTTTATTACGACAAGTTAATGAAATCCAAGCACAAGTCACAACCATAAATCACAAATCACGCTAAAGTCCAACCACATCACTTAGCACAAGTCCTCATCAAGCTAGCCTATGAGACGATGGTGAAGGAAAAGCAGGATCACCCGGTGACGCACTAGCGGGTTGATTGAAACCCGCGGACGGAAGCTGCACAAAGGAGCAGAGATTGCATGTGTGAGTAATCCGGGAAAACAGTTTTGGAACTTAGAGATTGCATCTAGTAATCTAGAAATACAAAAAGATTAGACTCAATTAAAAATTTCGGCAGCACCTCCCCTGCACGGGGAGGTTTCCAAAACCTGCAAGAAACGACGGCACGAACACCGACATCCACAACGGCACGAACGCCGACATACATGCAAAGCACAAGCGAAAAGTAAACTTTCATACTTACAGGAGTAGCTGCAGGAGTAGGGGGTGGAGGAGCTGAAAACTGCACAGGTACACCCGATGCTTGCCTAAGACTTTGCATGATCACCATCATCTCCGCCATCTGCTTCTGCGCGGCCTCGAACGCGACCTTCTGGGCCTGTAGCTGTGCGGTCAGCTCCGCGTTCTGCTCTTGACTTTGCCTTCTTGTTTCTTGCAGCTCAGCCTGCAATATTTCACTCCAATGTATCAGTAATGCAAATCTAATTTA